TCGTTCCTGAAGAGTGAGTCATACGTAGGAAATTCGAACGGTGTTGTAGGGTTCTTGTGATAAAGCTTCCTTGTCTGCGCAGACCCCAATGAGACGAAAAGAGAGCTTGAACCGTCTCTAACTCCACGCGAAGCAGTCCGGGTACTGGACGGCAAGCTGAAAATCGTTCCTCGTGCCAATCTTACCGGACTACTGCTTTCCAGCAGTTGGCTACTGAATCTCGGTCAACCGCAATGGATGCCTGCCCCGAGATGTCGGAATCCTTGGCAACGGTGGCTTATGAGAAGCTCTTTGAATAAAGGCTGCACCAGGGCTTCGTTGAGGTATGAAATTATACTCATAGATGTTTATCTTCTTCAGCACTTAGGGTTATCAGCCTGCGGTTCAAAACATGCAACGGACTTCCACGTGTATACTGCGGCGAAAAGTGGAATGAAGGCCCAAGAGCTGATTGACGACAGGCCCCTTTTTCGACTGTCAATGCTCCTGTACTTCTGGACCTACCTTCTGGCTACAGACAGCATCCTTTGCGTGCCGACTCGCTGTTAATTTGATTGATTGGATTAATCTTCATATCGCAGAAAACGTACCGTCAACAAACGTAATGGTACTGCGAAAGACTCAGTAAAGCTCCGTCAAGTGATTCCCAGCTTCAGTGAGCGCTTCGACGTACCCAAAGGTCCGGTTCATGACGCGTCAGTCCCGATGAACATTTTCACGTTCTCTTTGCAGTCGCGAACTTGCGGGGCCAAGATTGTCGTGTGTCGCGACCTCAGCGTCATGGACACATGTCGAGCTTTGACGCATTATGGTATGTCTGCTGCTTATTCGGTGTACACTGCTTATGGTCTGTCCACTGCGTAGGCAAACAACGCTACAGTCTCTGATAGTGCCCCTATTACTTTGAAGCACTTGACTGCAAGTAGAAACACATTGTAGCGACGCGTGAAATGGGCTTTTTCAGTCATCATGATCACTCTGGAGCCTTTCAAAGGTACTCTGGAAGCAGAATGCGCGCGGACAAATCAAGGCTACTTTTTGCAAATGCGGTCCCTGAAGCAGGCCATTTCATAGCTATTTGAAGCCCTTGTCCTCGCGCCAAGAGTCCAGACTTGTCCGGATCGACATGCGTCAGCAGCCCAGCAGTAGTTAATTGCTGACAATGCCAGGGAGGGCATTGTCACCTATATGGGTTCTCATGCCTCGTCGGCGCAAACACGTTCGTAAACCCAGTCTATCCGAAAGTCGCAAATTTATGGTGAGACACGAGCTATTTTTTACAAAAACACTAGGCCTAGTGAGCGCGGAACCTGCTTCCCTCTCCAAAGCCCGCCGAAGCAACGCCAGTTCTATGAACTTTTGAGTACCTCCCCAGTGGTCTGAGCATCACTAAAACTGAAAATGGAGTGGTCGTCGTACTTGCGCTTTCAGGATGTCAAGGAGAAGATCAAAGTTGTCAAAGAGGATGTGATGAAGGCAATGAAAGAAGTTGCGCTCATTGTTTACAGCCCGTAGCTCTTCACGCTGGCCTTACACTCACCAGCTTCACCGATCGTCTGCCAGTCACTAGCAAGTTCAGGAAGAAATACAAGAGGCAAGACAAAAAAGGACAACGGCAGAGACAGAGAGGCAAAGGGATAGAAAGAGAAAGACAGAGAGGATTATAATTGCTGAGGTGGGCCACTGATTGAGGTAAACGTACTGTAGTGCACAATCAACCCAGATTCTTCCACAAAAAGCTTTCAAATTGATTGCCAGCGTGAAATCAAGCTTCTGCTCACAACTTGGAAGAAAGTACATCTCTCTACACTCTAGCACGTTGCGCGTGAGGTATCAGGCTCCCAGAGATCCTGGCGTCTCGATTCGGGATAGCTTCCTTGTGCCCCAACCTACCGGAAACTGATAGGAGTTCTCGTGGCTGCAAACGGGTTGAGCAGGTCAAATTAGCCACGAGAGGTGGTAGAAATGGATCAGGGACACCTGTTGTGGCCGCTGTCCGTTCAACGTTTGATAATATACCTTCCTGCTTTGCTCTCCTACAAGCCATGCAGCTTTCATCTCTGTGCGCGCGCTTCTTCGCTTTGACGGATATGGGCTTTTTTCTGTGAGTTGCCAGGTAAGACTGCGGCCTAGTATACTTCGGAGCTTCGGTACCACCACATCTGTGGACTGGAAAAGTGTCCTTTGAACGACACACTGAGGCCTGTACGACAAAGGTTCGTATCACTTCGTCTTATGCGTGGCGGGACTCTAGTGTCTCGATGAGAGGAGCAATGTAATGGTAGAACAACTCTTCAACGAATAGCCTCTCGAAGCAGAGCTACCTTCGCCAAAAAGATTGGTAATAGCACACCGCATCGCTTTGGCTCTTTCCTGCAATTCAGCAATGACGCGTCCAGCCACGATCCGCGCTATGCCTGGACCGACACCGCGCATTCTTCAACGCGTGTGCACCACTTCAACTTCCACAGCATCTTCTTCACGCGTAGCTCAAGGTCACAACACTTTACGTTCTTCGCGATTCACTTGACTCCTGCGTCTCCTGAGCTGTTCGAGCTGGCATCCGTGCATATCACAGATACGCTCAATTGATCTTCATGCTGGCTGGATCATTGAGACGCTTCCGAGTCTGTTGAGAGCAGGGAACTCAAAGTGCTCAGCCTTACTTCCTCAGATTTGATGAAGACACCCAGGGTACCTGCTAGTCAGCCACGTGTCAGCGTTTCGTCAATGCGTAGACAAAGCATTGGCGAAGGTTCGAGCTTTTTCAACTTTTTCAGAGATACTTTTTCTTTTGAAATTCAAGACGCCGTGTAAAATTCCTGGAATCAGCCAAGTACAAAGAGCGTTCTTACATGGACTTGCGAGAAACATGCGCTGCATGAGGAGGCACCTTGCAAGTTGAATATTCTGATGGTTCGATTGCTATGCTTCCCCGAATGATTGTGCCAGACCGATCAGTACAGGAACGGCCCAGCATCTTTGGATTAGCGGAGCAAGATGTGGAAACAACGACGCGAGGGCCTGACGAGATCTCCAAAGTACTCGAACCAAGCTCGCGACCATGTAAAACGAGTACAGGGATCACAAGTGCACGGCATATTCACTCACACTTATCAACTCCATAGCAGGTCTTGCTTTTTGTCAAAAGCAGTCGCCCCTTGCAACGCCCCGCTGTCTGCATGCGTGGGTTTGATCAAGCTTTACGCGTTGGAGGCAGATAGTCGCGACATGTTCCATAAAAAAAAGATGCTCCCCAAATGAAAGGGAAGAAAGAGTCTTTGGCTCGTTTGGGAACAAGCTTCCGCCCATACGGCCATCCCAAAACCGGTTCATTGCTTCGTCAGTCATTTCCGATATGCATGACGTGCATGCAAACTTCGCATGACATCTTTG